GTACAACCCCTTGAAATACCACAAGGAAAATGGGATTCCATATCCATGGACTTCGTCGGAGGGTTACCCCCAACGAGAACCGGCAAGGACAAAATCTGGGTCATAGTGGATCGGCTGACCAAAACAGCACGATTCATTGCCATGAAGGAAACATGGACAATGACGCAACTAGCCCAAGCCTACATAAACCGGGTAGTGAAATACCACGGAGTCCCCCGAAACATTGTGTCCGATAGAGATTCCAGGTTCCTCTCGCAATTCTGGAAATCGCTACAATCGGCGTTGGGGACGCAACTAAAACTAAGCACAGCCTTCCACCCCACCACAGACGGCCAAACCGAGAGAACCATCCAAACCCTCGAGGACATGCTAAGAGCATGCACGCTAGACTTCCGAGGGACATGGGAAGAGCACCTAGACCTCATCGAGTTCTCATACAACAACAGCTACCACGCAAGCATTCGCATGGCACCCTACGAAGCACTATATGGTCAGAAATGTAGAACCCCCTTATGTTGGGAAGATATGGTCAACCCGGTAACACTGGGCCCCCAATACCTCCAAGAAACCATAGCTAAGGTCAAACACATCCAGGAAAGGATGAAGGCCGCCCAAGACCGCCAGAAGTCTTACGCCGACCTAAAGCGGAAACAAGCCAAATTCAACCTTGGGGACAAGGTCTGGCTAAGGATCTCGCCCACACGAGGAGTAATGAGGTTCGGAAGAAAAGGAAAACTCAGCCCCCGATTCATCGGCCCTTATGAAGTCGTAGAGAAAATCGGGGATTTGGCCTACCGCCTCGCCTTACCCATCGAACTAGAACGAGTACACAACGTGTTCCACGTATCTCAGCTAAAGAAATACATACACGACCCAAGCCACGTACTCCAACCCGAGGTCATAGACCTCGATGAGTCACTAGTATACGAAGAGAAACCCGTAAGAATCCTGGACACCAAGACAAGAAACACCCGGAACCGAGTCATAGAAATGGTGAAAGTCCTCTGGACCAACCACGGGACCGAGGAAGCAACATGGGAACTTAAGGACACAATGAAGGAGCGGTATCCCGAGCTTTTCACACAAGGTAACTAAAAGAAAACCTTTCACCAAGGGCCAAGCTTCGGGGACGAAGATTCCTGTTAAGGGGGGGAGAGTGTAACACCCCGTGTTACGAGTCCTAAAACCAATTAGTTAATTAATCAATAGCCTAAGAGAAAGAATAAATTATAATGATTAATTAGGGAAAAAGGCCCACCATAGCCCGTGGGCCCTCATATATAAACCTAACCCCTAAACCCAATCCTTAGTTCCAAAAGGAATAGAATTAGCAAGCCTATAATATTAGTTCCTAATTAGGACTCGTAAATATATAAATAGGGGACTTAAGAGGCACCTAGAACCTCCCCACAAGAATAACGCCCCACCACCCCAAAATAGCTCCAAGAATCCCCGTAGAAGAAATCAAGAAAGCAAGAAATCTTAAAGAAGGACCCTTCATAGCCAAGGAATTAATTAAGGCTAAGAGGTAACCCATGTATCAACAAAACCTATTTTCATAGCTATGATCCCCCCTTAGGGTTTTCCCCATATTATTGTGTATTGGCGAGATATGATGATGATTATTGATGTTTGACGTGATGATCCCATGAGGGATCTTGATAATCTTAATATTGGGAGATTCTTGATGATTATATGGAGTTCTTGATGATTATGTGTTGTTCTTTATAATTGTGTGATGCTCTTGATGTTTATGTGTTATTCTTACCGAATCTTGCAATTAGAAGACGAACCGTATTCTTGTTGATATAAAAGTGATTAGAACCCTAGGTTGTATCGTATGATCTTACTCTTGGATTATCGGGTGGGGAAATCGCATGTTTGGGTGTTGATTATATTTAGAAAAGCATGATAGGTTATGTGCCGTTCGTTTCTTGTATTTGATTCGTTAATTGTCTACGTGTTGTCGTTAATTGCGTTGTAAAATGTCTAAGCATGGTTTCGGGTTCCACAACGGTTCCCGGGGCGTAAAGTGTGTGAAAAGAGTCAGTGGCGGGTAAGTGGGGGGTAGGGGACCCGCCACCTACCCACGGCCGTGAAACACCGCCCGGCAGCGGGTAGCCGGCGCGCGGGCAGCTGCCTGCCGGCGACTCGCTGCCCGGAACAGTAATTCCAGCGGGTGGCCCCCCCACCCACCGGCTACCCGCTGGAAATTATCCCAATTCGGGATCCCGGCTTCCCCGTTTGATGTTCCCCCGATCCCCGTGGTGTCCCAACGGACTCCGTTCATCGTGCCTATGTCTAGTTTGATATTTCGGGTGCCGTTCGTAGGTTTACAAGTCTATTATATTGCATGCTAGTTGAATTGGTATCCCGTTGACCTAGGTGGTAGAAGTATGAACCCCTTAGGACTATTCTTAGTATGTGATGGGTCACGCATAGGTTTTGTTATACGTTTTCTCCCCCTTCCAAATGTGTAATGTGGGTTGCATGTGCTTGCTACGTGTTATGTGTGTGTGTTACCCCAATTCGGTTGCGATCGGATTGGTTATCCTGAGCTGCGGTTCAGAAGCTGGCTGCGGTCAGATTGATACTCTTGGGCTGCGGTCCACCGTTTGGTTGCGATCAAACGTTTCTATACGAGCTGCGGTTCGTCCTTTTTCCTGGCTGCGGTCAGATGACATTCTCTTGGGCTGCGGTCCACTGTTTGGTTGCGATCAAACATTATGATGAGCTGCGGTTCATCGGTCGGTTGCGATCGACCCCTCCGTGTTGCGATACGGGGCAGGGTGCTGCGGGGTCGTGTCAGAGCTATATGCGTTGACCCTCATGTATGGGCATGCGATTGGTCCTGTGGCGCCAACAAAGTGTGTTATGTGTTGTGACATGGACGAGTTGTGATTACGAGTGTCTTGGGGGATGTGACTATGGGATTTATATTGGGGATTGTTCATGTTGGGTTATGACCATTGTTTATGCTTTGCTTTATCTGCCTTATATGTTGTGAACTGCATATGCTCGTTATAACTGTTGCTTGTGCCTGGCCTTATCTGTCGAGTCGTTCCCGGTTTTAAAGCTAGAGTTCGTACGATATATCCTCATGCTCAAAATGGTTTTCGTATATCTATATATATCTCTATATGTATTGTATTTCAACGCGTTGGAGTGGGTTACTAGCATCTCTCGATGAACAGATATATTTGGCTTTCAGGCACAAAAGATTAAGTCACTGGAGCGCGCTAGAACTTGGAGTATAGAAGTAGATAGTTTTCCTCTTCTAGCCTGCGTGCCACGTTTACGTAATTACGCTTTGAGGATATTAGTTAGTTAGCCTGTGCACTTGGGTTCTCTAGCCCAGGTGTGGCATAGCACCCCGTACGCTTGTATTTATTCCTTGAGATTTAATGAGATTCCACCTTTGATTTAAGTTTTAAAAAGTCTTAAAAATCTGGGGTGTTACAGCTTCCAATTTATCTAACAACCCCTCGGCCAGGTCCTTGTAAAGTACTAGCCTTTCTTCCCTGGTTACTCATTCGTTCTTCAGCTGATTGACCACTAGGCGGGAGTCCGTCTTTATGCACACCCTGGCGGCATGGAGGGCGATGACTAATCACAGTCCCCCGATAACCGCCTCGTATTCTACCTCGTTATTCGAAGTCTGGAAATTGTACCTCAAGGCGTAGTACAAGCGGAATCCTTCTGTGGTTGTGGCCATTACCCCACCCCTGCAGTGTTTGGAGCCGGCCGCACGATCAGTATGTATTTCCCCCAACTAACCTACTTAGAGATTCAAACATATCATGACAAAAGATACCAACAAAAACAAACGAGGGCGAAGAAGGGGTTACCTCACTCTTAATCTTGAGAGGAGCCACCATCCGTGTCTTCAAAGGCTTCATCATCCGAGTCTAAGGCTTCATCAGCTCTGCCTCTACTCGAACTAGCTTCCAAAGTGATCAACCTTCGGTTTACTGAGGTAAACCGCGTCTTCATGTACGCGAATCCTTCCTCGATAATTCGGTTTTGCTTCCTCAAGAGAGCTACCACACGCTCGTCCGTAGTCATGGAGTCGTGCTCCCCCTTGGTTCGTACTTCCTTCCTCCGGGCTTCTTCTTCGTTGTCGGGATCACTATCTTATTCTTCATCGTCACCATATCTCAACTCCTCAACTACAGATTTCGGCTTCTTAATGGGAACGACCAACTGATCGACTAGAAGTCTCCTCTCGCATGATGGTTTCTTAGCTATCTCTTCTAAGGTAATATACTCATTACCTTCCACTTGGAACAGGTTGCAGATTCGGAGATTCAGGGCGTCAAAAACCATCTTGCCAACAGGCTTGAAAACTTTCTCTCTAACGTCCACTCCTTTCCTTTCAAAGATCCAGCTTAAAATCATGCTGTAAGGTAAACTCTTACGGTTATGCCCCACGCAATACTCCATGTGTTGTAGCATCAAAGCTGGCAGATTAAACTTCACCTTGTGCTTCAGAAAATAGGCAAAAGTGCACTCCAAGCTCCCCACCTGACAACTTTTGTTATTATTAAGCAACAGACTGTCAGTAACAAGCATCACCAAAATATTTTGTTCTCCAGTCAACCATCTTTTTTCAGGCCTTGTGGCCTGAGTGAAACCATCTGTCCTTCCCAACAAATACCCTAGATAATCCCGGTGGTCTAGGCCTTCCGTTCCAATCCAAGTATCTCTCTTGTACTCTGCGACCCCGGTCAGAGTCAACTTAAGAAGCTTGGCTAACTTGCTTTCATTAAGTATAATCTTAACACCATTCACCTTCGAGGTGATTTCCAATTTGCTCCCCACTTTCGTCACAACCATACAACAATAGAATTCTTTCACTAAGTTCGGGTAAGTCTCATTCTTAATCGCTAAATATCCATCCAAAAGACCTTGAAAATTAAGCACATCCAAAATAGTACTTGAAAAGAATTCGGGTTCAAAGGTTTTACCTTCTAAAACGGAGTAGTGGGCATCCACCCAATCTACCTTCTTGAGGATACTCGTCTTCTTAGGCATGATGCAAAAACTTCAACAAAAAATAGAGGCTTGAACTCTCCTTTCTTTCCCTTTCTTTTTCTTCTTCTCTTTCTGGTGGGTCGAAGGCATGACAGCGGCGGCTGGGTGCGGCGATGACGAGCAACAGACGGGCAGTGGACGGCTGGGCTGGAGGAATCGGCGGCAGGGGTTCTTGCACTAGGGTGATGCTGGGGTGGTCCGCCTTGCTCGACTGGGTAGGGGCAAGCACAAACCTTGTGTCCTCTTCTCCCACAATTGAAGCATTGAAGTGGGTTTCCTTGACAATCCTTCCTAACATGCTCCTTACCACATCTCCTACATAAATCCGGTCCCCTCCTAGCCTCCGAATGTGTCCTTGATGCCTCTTGTCCTTGTGAATAGGTTACCTTAGAGTTGTAGTCACCTATTGCCCTCTTGAAGTTCGGATTTCCACTCCACTCAATCCTTCTCTTGGTTTGGTCACTTGACCCCCTTTGCATTTGTTGGATCCGGAACAAGTTCGCCGCGCTGGAGTAGGCTTCTTCAAGCGTCCTTGGCTTGAACACCATTAGGGACTTCCTTGCCTCGTAATTAAACTCAGCCACAAACTTTTCCACTAGAGCGGCCTCGGTAGGGACCAACACTTGGGTGAAACAAGACAGCTTCAAAAACCTTTTGTGGTACTCCACCACAATCAAAGCCCCTTGCTTGATATGAAGAAACTCCTCGTACAAAGCCGCCTGGACATGCGAGGGATAGAAGCGCTCACGGAGCTTGTCCTTCAATCTTTCCCAACAAAACCTTGACTCTTCTTGGCAACCCGGTCCTTCGTGGACCCACCACAAGTCTGCCTCATGACTGAAGTATAAAGTGGGTAACTCAACTCGGCGCTCTTCCGGGCATCCTACCACCGAGAAGATCTTGTCCAGCGTTCGGACCGACTCTTCCAAGATTGCGGGGTCTTCTTCTCCGGCAAAGACGGAAGGTCGATGGCCTGAGACTTGTCGGCCAACGTCACGATTCGCATTCGGTGGCGGCGGAGGAGGATTATTGTTGTTGTGGAGGAGGGCGTTGCTTAGCGTCTGCGTAATCTGAGTGAGATGCTGAGGGTTCTGAGCTAGCTGTTCATTTGTGGGCGTTTCCGGAGTCCGATTACGATGACGAGGTGGTGCCATTGCAGAGTTCTACAGAAGCAACATGGTTACAGCAAGAGAAACGGAGAAGCTATGCACCCTTACCCAGTGCTTCAAACAAAGAACTTAAACTAAACATAGGCAAGAAAAGGAACACACAACAACAGTAAAGAAACTCACACCTCACCGCGTGTCTTATAATTCTTAAGTCCTAAGCACTTAGTCACTAAGAGTTCAGACTTAGAATATTTAATTCAAACTTAACTTCTTAAAGTTCAACTATTAGCATCCTAGGCTCAAACCTAGGCTCTGATACCAACTGTAACACCCCCGATTTTAAGCATATTTTAAAACCGTTTAAGCTTAAGTAAAAGATAATGTGACACCCCAAAAATCCACACTCCAAACCATGAATTAATTGAGTAATTAATTCTATTTCTTTTGAGGAATTGATTCCTAAAATCCTGATTTTTAATACTCAAGGACTAGTATTTGACTAGTCAATCTTTAAGTTGTGTTGTACCTTGTGCTTTGAGAGGAGTTCCCTTGTTCCTTACACTTTCTAAGAGTTAGTAAGGGTATCCTTGCCTTTTCACCAAGAGCTATTCTTGTAACCTAAACCTAGAAGACTTCTTCATTTCATTCCCTTACATTTCCTAGAAAATATCTCTACCTTCTCTCTAGAAAACAAGAGTAGCTTGTTCTTCAAGCCAAAAGAAGCCTTTGTCAAGATTCCAAGTTTTGCTTCCAAGATTCAATCTTTCCTCTATTTTGGCATCTAGAAGGGTAAGATCTAAGCTTGTCTAGTCTTTTTGGTTCCATCTTGGTTGTCTTTTTCTTAAAGGTTGGATCTTTATGATCTTTTGGTTTGATCTTGAAGTGGGTTTGGCTAGTGAGCTTAGTGGAGAGCTTGTTGTGGTGTAAGAAGAGTCTTTTGGTCTTCAAGAGGTAACCCATGCTCTACAAAACCTATTTTGCTTACCTATATATGATTTCATGGCTTCTACTTGTGTTTTGATATGAAATGTGAGAGTTTATGCATTTATCTTGTGATATTGCATATCTAGAGCTTGTGTTTAGGATTCCTTTGTGCCATTGCTTGGCATTTTCCTTGGTTCAAGTCATTTTGTTGTGTTTGGTGAGATTTGGCATGTTTTGGACTTGAATTTGTGTTTGGAGGAGAAAATCCCCGAAGGGATTTGTTGTGGTACAGGGACGTACCCGCGGGCGGAACGGCGGGCGGGGCACCACTCGCCGGCCTACCCGCAGGGAACGTGTGCCCTGTGGGTTGTGTACCCGCGGGCGGGACCACTGGTGGGACACTACCCGTGGGTCAACATTGTGTTTCGTTGAACCATGTGGCGTCTTGTGTGTTCCTTGGAACTATCTTGAGTTTCCTCGTTGTTGAGCTTGCTAGTTATTATCTTAATGCTAGGGTCGTTGTTGTCGATGGGTGGTGACCTGTCTCTTGATTGAGTGTGTTTCATACCTTCTCTTGCAATCCGTTGTTCGTTTCGTGTGAGTGGTGGTGCGTGTGTGGCTCTACCTGGATTGCACGATTAGTGGTATGGGACACTAGTCACCAAGGTATTGCAGCGGTCCTCATGGAGTTGTGGCTGAGTCCACGTGTTTGGGGGATAATATTGTGTTATCCGGGCATGTTTTGCCGTGAATTGGTGGGTTTTCATTGGTGGTCTGTAGGTGGGGGACGACGGTCCCGGCGGAATAAGGTTGGACTTGGCTGTACAGGGGTTTTCTGGAGGTAATGGTTGGCACCGAAGGTACAAGGTTGGGGGTAGCCATAAGGTTGGAACAGGGCATAAGGAAGGCATATCAACTCGTGATGTGTGATGTCACGAGGGCTTGTGAAGCCGTTGTTGTGGTGAGTTCTCTTCTCTCGTGACGTGTGTAGTCACGGAGACTTGTGGTGTGGTGTTTTGGCATGTGTTGCCGGTGTGTGAGTCTTTATCCTTGTGTGTGGTTAATCTTTGTGGTTGGGATGTGTTCCCGGTTTTATCCTTGTGAGTGGTAAGTCTTGTGTTGTCTTTTGATCTTGGCTTTTGACTTATATATATGTATTCCGTTTCGAAAATGGTTTTCATATTATATATCTACCTATTTATGATACTTAGCGGTATTGGTGGGTTACCAGCATCATTCGCTGACCGGGCGTCGCCCCGATGTTTATCTTTGTATCTTTCAGGTGATGAGTAGTCGAGCGCGATGTCTAGAGCCGGTAGCTTAGCACCTGTATCTTTAGACAGTGTTGTTGAGGCCTGTGTGCCAATGTCTTTAGATTGTTCTAGTTTGTTGTTTTTGGGATAGTGTTACACTTGCAGATTGTCGCCGTAGCGTATACCTAGTGTGGTACACGTGGCATAACACCCCGTTTTGGATTCCTTTTATCCAGTTATCTTTTTATCTTTCGCTGTGCTAGTGTTTTGTTGTTAATCTGCATGTGTTAAGACTTGTTTTTAAGTCGTGTTTCGGGGGGTGTTACAGTTGGTATCAGAGCCTAGGAAGAGTTAAGTCTAGACTTTCTAAGTATTTAAGTGTGTTTTGAGACCTCTAAGCGACCTTAAGGAGTTAAGTGCTAGGCTTAGGACTCTAGGTTGCGCGGTGAGATGTGTGTTATTTAATGTCTTGCTTGATTGCTTTTTTGTGGTAACCTTGTTGTTGTAGCAGAAGTGCGATGCCTCCTCGTCCTCACGCCCGCACCCCAGAGACCCCGACCAACGAGCAGCTCGCCTAGAATCTCCATCAGCTGACGCAGACGATGCAGTCTCTCAGTGAAGCTCTGTTGAACAACAATCAAGCTGCGCCGCCTCCGCCTCCTGTTGGGCACCGTGATGTGGGTCGCCTTGTGTCTGGGCATCGGCCGCCTTCCTTTGCTGGTGAAGAAGACCCTGTAGTCCTTGAAGAGTAGCTACGGGTGTTTGATAAGATCTTTACCATGGTGGGTTGTCCCGAAGAGAGGAGAGTAGAACTGGCAACGTTCTACTTCTGCCAAGAAGCTGATCTGTGGTGGGTTTACGAGAGTCCGGCCTTTCTTGAAGAGCCTGGGTTTGATTGGACCACGCTCAAGGACAGAATGCGCGAAAGGTTCTACCCAGCGCATGTGCGAGCCGCCATGTTTGATGAGTTCCTTCATCTGCAGCAAGGACCCCTATCTGTGGTGGAGTACCACAAGAAGTTCCAAGAGCTGGCGCGCTTCGCGAGGATGTTGGTGCCTATAGAGCTTGCCAAGGTTGAGCGTTTCGTTGCCGGTCTGAACTATGAGGCACGAAAAGCGTTGACAGTGAGTAGACCCAGTTCCCTCAAGGATGCGTATCTGTGTGCCGCGGATCTGTTTCGTGTTCAGCAGCTTCAGAAGAGTTCGCTTGAGTTGGCTAGGAAGAGAGTTGAGAGTGGTGGTTCTTTTGCTTTCAAGAAGCCCCGACCGAGTTTTCCGGCTAGAGTTGTGCCATCTTCTTCTCAAGGACCAGTAAGGATGGAGCCTTCGGTTCAAGCTAAGTCGGTTGGTTGTCGCAAGTGTGGGAAGGTGCATCCGGGCCAAGTTTGTTATGGCAAGGCGTTTAAGTATTTTCGCTGTGGGGTTGTTGGTCATAGAGTTGCGGAGTGCCCCCAGCTTGTTGGTCAGAGAGTGTTACCGCCACCCCCGAGAGCTGGAGGAGCACCAGGAGGGAGTTCAGGTCACGGAGCTGTTGGAGTTAGGCCACCTGGGAGAGTTTTTGTGATGGCGCGTTCGCAGGCGGAGTCGGAGGGTCTGGTGGAGGAGGAGTTAGCAGGTAACCCTTGTTTTCGAGCCTATCCTTGTGTCCCCGAGAGCTTTGTGTTCTTTGTTGCCTTGGGTGATCTTGTGTTTCGCAGTGTCCTTTGTGTTCTTTGTTGCCTTGGGTGTTATCTTGTGTTTCGTAGTTGTCTTTGTTTGGCAATCCTTGGCTTGTTTCCCTTGCTTGTTTTTCGTTGGATGCTTAGTGTATACTCTTTTCTTGCTAAGTGTTTTCTTTAGTTGGCATCTTGTTTTGTGGTAGCCATCTATCCTTGAGTTATCTTGTGCTTAGTCCAATTCTTCCACCTTTGTACTTGTTGTTCTTACAACAATTCCTTGTGTTTTTCCCTAAATTTTCCAAGTATTCTTTGATTTGGAAAAAATAGCAATCCTTACCAAAATCTTTCCTTTTGTAGCCTAAAAGTTGAACCTAATGTTTCTTTATAGCCTTTGAGTTTCAAACCTTAGCCAATTTCTTTTCTACCCAACCTTTAAACCACTTAAGCCAATTATCTTTCTTGAACCCTAACCAATCTCAATTTCTTTTAAACCTTAAATCCCACTTTGTTCAAAATCCCCAAATTTAATCATCTTTTCTCCCAATCTCACCCAAATCCCTAATTTCTTTCCCCAAAATTCTCTTCATCTTTTTCCTTCTCCCTACCCGTGAGCTACCCGACACACCACCCCACCCCGTTGGCCACCACCACCTGTCCGTCGCACCACCGCCTCGCCACCGCCGGAGTTCGCCGCACCGCCGCCGCCGCCGATCCGCTGTAGCCGTGTCACCGAGCAGCCGCAAGAGAGAGAGAGAGAGAGTGCAGCGAGAGTGTGGTAGAAGAAGGAGGAGAGTTGTGGGCTTTGTTTGTTGAGCTTTGGATCATCTTCCACCATGCCTAGAAGGTCAAGCTTGGCTAGAAAAGCGGAATTGGTGGATGCCCACTACCTTGTGCTTGAAGGTAAAGCTTTTGATCCAGAATCTTTTTCAAGTTCCTTGTTGGATTTGCTTAAGTTTCAAGGTTTGTTAGATGGTTTTCTCGCCATAAGGGCCGAGACTTACCGGAGTTTGGTGAAAGAGTTTAACCGTCACATGGTTGTGACGAAGGATGGTGAAAGGCTTGAGATCACCTCTAAGGTGAGAGGTGTGAAGGTTGTGTTTTCTGAGAAGAGGTTAGCCTAGTTGTTGAGTTTGTCTGCTACCGGAGTGGCACAGTACAGTGGTCATTCTTGGATTAGTATGGATACCATGGGGTACCGTGACTATTTGAGC